GAAGGTCAAGGAAAGCGTGTCTTTGTTAAGAGCAGGGCATGGAACGACCGGTTAACCCTGACGTGACTGGGTTATTACTATTTCCCCCCCCCCCCGCAACTGGCTCTCTGCGGTCAAAGGTCTTCCAAGCATGCATGTACATCCGTAAACCACGGCGGCAAGGATGGTGCAACAGTGGGTCCTTGTGTGGGGCTCACAGGGATGGGGACGCGGTATATGTAAGGGTGACGAACTTAAACACCCCACCGGCTGTATCTCGCTCTACAAGACTCCAATCAGCTCAGGACTTCAACGGGTGTGCTGCTGCATTGCAGGGCTATCTTTGGACCCATCGTGAGGCCGAAACGGCACAGTTTTCGTGGTGCCACGGTTGGTGGGGCATATACCGCCGCTACCCCACTGGTGGGGTCGATAACATTATTAACCAGCTGGATCTCCCTCTACAAGGCTCCAATCGACACACAACCACCTGTAGGAGTGTGTGGTCGATGCACGCACAGCGCACAGCAGCGGGCATCACCTGGGGCGCCGAACAGGTCAAGAAATCTCGCCGCATTACGCCAAACACCCGAAGTGGGTAGCGAATACTGCCTTCTATTCTCTTGCAGGCAGACTTCCCCACTGCCGTATGTAGCCCTACAAGACTCCAATTAACACAAGACATGTACGAATGTATTGCTGCTTTGCAGGGCTATCGTGGGATCCATGGTGAGGTCGAACGCTAAAGGTTTGGTGGTGCCACGGCCGGCGGGGTAAACAACGCAATGCATATGCCCCACCGGTGGGGTGGATAAGGCTAAACACCCCACCAGCCGTATCTCGCCGAACAAGACTCTAATCGAAGCACAAGCGCCATGGTTATAGCGTGCTGTTCATGCACACACCGCGTACAGCACACAGTACACAGCACACAGCACACCGCACACAGCAGCTCTGCACCACTGCACCACTGCACCACAGCAGGCTAGACACACGTCACAAGGGGGAGGGGGGGGACTGTACAAAAATCCTGCCGCTTGGCCGCATGGGTGAAAACCTGCGAACCTGCGGTCGCGGGGATCGTTTTCTGTGGGGCGATCACTCCAGTGTATCAGCACCGAAACCGGGCCCATTCAATACGCCAGCGTATCTATTTGCAGATATCACCGGCAACATCCACGGCGAACTCTCAGCTTCAGGCGCTGGCAAAGGTCCGTGGGATGCTAGACTTTGTCCTCCACCCGTCTTCTCCTGACACGAGTGGCATACCTGTCGAAGATGAGAGGCTGCAGAAGGTGACGGAGTGGGTGTCCAAGCAGGAAGATCCCATTGACGGCGAACTGCTGCCAGATGCATCCCAGGTGTGTGCATAAGGTCGGGTCCATGATTGATGCTCCAGGCGCAATGATCGACGAAGGTTTTGTTTTTTTCACCAGACTGCAAACGGACCGCAAACGGACTGCAAAACCGCACTGCAAAACATCTGCACGACGTTGTTGTATGGAGATGGGGTAGCACCTCGTATCGGAAAGATTGAACTATGATCTGCCCGTAGCAGCATGGTTAATTCCATCTGGTTGGTAGATATTTTTTTGCTCTGTTGTGCCATTCGTGCTCCATGCATATGTGTCGCTGGTTTCATGCGGGGAGTAGACAGGGTAAATGTAGGCATGATGAACTTAAATGTACGCTCTCCGTTTCATAACTAATTCATGATCAGCTTCATTATCGTAATCTTCTCAACATTGATGATAAACTCGATAATTTATGGCCGTAATGTATCCTCCTCGATTCCCGTCCAGACCGCAAAGGAGCTTCTGACGAAGGGCCTGTTTAAGGACAAGTTCACCGCGGCTCTCCTTAACGGGATTGAACCCGAAGATGGTGGGGGCGTGGGCACTCCGTTCGAGAGCGAGAGCAACGGCGACTGCTTGTTGAATTCGGTGGCGGCATTCTTTGCCAAGGAGGGAGGTCGAGGAGTCAGAAGTGCTGTCAAGACAATGGCGGTGAAGCTTCGACTCAGCGTCGTGCTGTACGGGCTGAAGTACATGGAGATATTTCTGCTGGAGCAGGACGACCATTTTGGGGCATGGTACAACTACACGTCGGATGTGCGGGAAAGGCTGGAGAAGAACGGGTGGCATGTGGTGCCCGACGTCGACAACAACTGGCACGTCGGGTCGTCAAACTGCGCGTGGCTGATGTTCCTTGCGCAGCTGCGGAGCATAGCAAAGCCTGGGGCATGGCTCCATCAGTTTGTCTTTCCGATACTCGCCACAGTCGTCCAATCTCCTCTGCGATTGTTTCTGCCATGTGAGTGTGTTAGCTGGAAGGCTAGGCGCGTAAGAGTTATTTAGCAATTATTTTCACCGGTTTGGTATCGAAGTAAGTCCATCCGAGGCAACAGCTCATCGCTTCGCCGCAGCACGCAGCAACACTGGTCAGCTCAGGCAGTATAAACATGATCGTAGTACAGTAGGATCGTTGTCCGTGCGTTGGGTGCCTGCCGATGACCCGCCCAGTTTTCACGTACGAATTGGATGAGCTGGGCAATACCCGAAAGGGAAAGGAAAACGAAGGAAAACGGATGGGGGACACGCTAACGACAATTCCGTGATGTCGTTTTCGGAATGCATTTTGTGGCCGTCTCCACTCGCCCTCGGTCTGTTGCAGTGAACACCCTCAACAATGCTCAGGGAGGGCCTTGGAAGCACACGCTTTTTCTGCCGGCGTGGGAAACGGGGCGCCGCCCCACGCTCCACGTGGCCATGACCATGGGTTACAGCTCCAGTTATCTCCCGCCCTTCGACAATGCGACTGGATACCTAGAGTACGTGGAAAACCAGCTTCCCGAGCTAAACCACTTCGTTACCGTGTCTGGTGATACCGCCATCGTCGCGAAGGACCTCGCTCTAACGAAATTCAGGACGTTGAAGAGTAAAGCCAAGGAGGCGGTCACGGCCTCAAAGCGGCAGGTACACGACGCTATGCTTGGCCCAAAACTGAACGAATTGACGGCGGACGAGGAGGAGGACGTCCACCGCAGGCTGACGGACGCCCATACAAGGGTAAGGGTTCGGAGCTTGTAAATAGGGTTAGTGATGAGGTTGTATTTTCGTTGGGGCCACGCATATTTGACCACCTCCCTGAGCTGTGGGACCCCGTACACGATGATATTCCGTACGATTCAAAACGATGTATGTGCCGAGACGTAACGTGGTTGACGTCCACCGATTTGCTTTGCCTGTGTTCCATGCGAACCGACAGGCAGAATCCCACTTCGAGAGGTGCGATGCTGACTTGAAACGCATCATGGGCTATCATGTGGTAAGTGGCTGCAGGAATTCCGGTTAATGTGCGAGGGTACACTGGTTGCTGGTCGGGCCGTTGGGGGACTCTCCGTTAGCGTCGAGTACGTTCGAATATATGAGTGAGAGAAGCTCATCACAACCCTCGTTACGTTGCCCCACCCCAAGCGTTCTCAGGGAACCCCAGACGCGTGTTCTGGTGCGTTGGACATTGTGACATCTTTGCCCTCGCCTCACCTCATCATCATCCGATGTATATGCGTGTGTTGACAGAGACCGTTTGAGTGTGCGGAGCATGCCGCAGAAGCAAACGAGGAGGCGTTCGATATCCGCGTGGTGAGCACGTCGAAATGCGGTGTGGTGAATAAAATCTGAAGTAGACCTCCCCATACTTGCAGAGCGGTTTCGCAACATTTTCGTTTTCGCAAGTATGCGCATTACTTGGTGCGCGCAGCACGCATCCTCGTGACGCATATCGGCGTATCTGTATCTGCTTCAAAACGTCGACCGTCTAGAAGCCACGATCAAACCACTAAGACTAGCAAACTCTTAGACCTTGTCAGCCCAGGCTCGTTGAGTGATTGAAGATCCAAATATATCGTGCTCTTTTGCGACCAATGTCTTGTCGTGTACATCAGAATGAGGCGAGAGAAGAAGCACAGCGGAAAGCGGCCGCCGCTGCCGAGGAGGCCAGCTTCCGCGACGAGCAACAAAAAAACGGGAGCACCAGTAACGTGGACGGAGGCGAGGACGGCGCGAGCAAGGAAACGAAGCCCGCGAACGAACAAGAGTCGGAAGGATGCCAAGGCGGGTGTCGATTCCGCGAACGGGCAGAAGGAAGAGGGAAAGCAGGGTAAGGGAAGGGGAGGGAAGAAAAAGGGTGGGGACGGAGGAAAGAGTGGAAGCAAAGAGGATGAGAAGGCGCGCGTCGATCCCGCGAACGGGCGGGAGGCGGAGGGAAAGCAGGGCAAGGGAAGGGGAGGGAAGAAAAAGGGTGGGGACGGAGGAAAGAGTGGTGGCAAAGGGGATGCCACGGCGGGTGTCAATTCCGCGAACGGGCAGGAGGCGGAGGGAAAGCAGGGCAACGGGTTTGACGGCAGCACCGCCCCCAAGGTGGGCAAGGATAGGAATGGAGACAAGGCGTTACACAAGCTGCGACGGAGGGCACAGAAAATGTCGAAGAAAGCGCGGCTTCAAGAAGAGAAGGCAAGGCAGGCGTAGGTTTTCATGCGGGTTTCTTTGATGAGCCATGATTTATCATGACCAACAGATGTAGCACAGACGGTGGTATGGGGACCAGCATAACCGGAACGAAAACGAAATCGCCTTGATTCTGAAGACGGCTCGAGTAGCTACAGCATTGTCGCGTTTGGCCACCAGCACTTGTCGAAAGAACCCACACCCGTTGCTATAAAGTGTACCTTTCGCGCTTCCCATGCGTTCGTGCAGGGGTGCTTGGACATCGTACTCGGCACTCGCCTTCACAATGGTCGTTGGAATGTGAAGCAGCCAGGGTACGGAACTGTGATGAAGGTTAACATGGGTGTCGACCAAAACGAAGTTGAGTCGTACGACGTGCTAATGGACGACGCCGAGAGCATCGTTACGATGGTGGCGCGGTACGTGGAGGTAGACGTCAAGTATGCCCGAACGCATGTTGCATCGGGGAAAGGGTCACCTGCAGGAGAGAGAGGGAGATCCGACAATGAATTGGTCTCACCTGAGAACAGTTCGAAGGAGGAGGAAGATACCCAGATACCCGTGGCAACAAACAATGGCGGTACGTGTACAGGAGAGGGTGTCGACAGGGGTGGCCTTCAGGATGGTGGAGACAAGAGTAGAAAAAATGAACAAGACGACAAGCTATGCGGGACAAGGGGGATGGTATCCGTGAAGAAAGAAGGGGGTCAGAGTCGCAAAAACGGAGATAAAGGCAAAAATAAGGGAAATAGTGATGAGGAAAGCGACAGCAGCATAGATGTCGAGATGGGATCGGACAAGAAGGGTGGGCAGCGATCCAAGGCCGGAGTCGGAGGGCGATACAAGGACACGGGTGATGATGAGGAAAGCGACAGCAGTACAGACGCGGAGATTCAATCGGATAATAAGGGTAGGCAGGGTTCTAAAGCCGGAGCCGGAGGGCGATCCAGGGGAAAGAGTGATGATGAGGGAAGCGGCAGCGGTTCAGATGGGGGCAATGACTCCGGGAGCGAGTACAGCGAAGGAAGTGGGGATGGTTCGGACAGTGACAACAGTGACGCCTCGCAGGAGATGAGAGAAAGGGGGCAAAAACAACGGAAGCGCAACAGACGGCGATGAAAGGTAGGCGGGAAGAAGTCTTAAGCAGGGCTGGGGTAGACGGCCTGTGTTGGAATTAATAAGTCGTTGGAGCAATTGTCACCATCGACAGTCCGTTTACCCCCTCCCTGTCTTTGTCGCCGTGGTTTAGGACGCGAGGAAGGGAGGCGGCGCGAATCGAGTGGGCCGGGGGGAAGCGGGAAGAATTGCCAAAGTGGGCCGTTCCTTTGACGTCCTCGGTTCTCCTCAAGAGACTTGGGATGCTGTGTTCCACACACTACTCGAAGACCTCGGGGCTGAGGGGCACCAAACTCTCCGTATTAACCGAAAAAGAAAGGTCAGAGCTCTGTGCGCCCTTGCGCATTGGTATTTCTGGTCTCCCTTCGTGCCCAACATAGATGTATCCGCACGATAACCTCGCACCGGCCCGTAACCAATCAAGGGCGCTCGTTTTTTTTGTCTCTTGATGCAGACGGCCGACAAATCGCGACACAATCTCTGTGAAGTTATTTGTGCGCATTCGGGAAGCGTACGCAAGAAAGATCCGACAAAACAAGAGGTCAACCCCAGGAAGAGAACGTCGAAGAAGGTGAGCTGTGTTGAACTATCATAATGGCAGCCTGACCTCCAGTTGCTCGACATGCTCGACGACGTAAAACCTGCTGACCGCGCACCTGGTGCGAAGTGCTGGTATCGCATCGTGTTCTGGGTTGTGCATTTGCCTTGGGGTTGATGACCGTTTCACTCTTTACCCCCCGCCGTCTCCGCTTTTTACTTTGGCACGGAATAGGTGGGGTGCCCTTTCAAGATCACCATCAATTGGCCTCTGCGGGGGAGTAACCCATCCATGTTCTCTGCGAGTTTGGGCCTTCCTTCTATTACGGCATCTTGACCAACATCCACGCACATAGTATCGGCATCTACTCGTGTTGTTGTTTTGAACTACTCGAGATGTACGTGCAGTCTACATGCTTGGGACATCTGATCGTACTGATTCTGACATGCTTGGGACAGCTGGTAGTACTGAATCTGGAACTGAGTGGCTCCGTCCTTTTGTCGACCCCTCCAGTCTCGCTGCCAACACAACCACGACCCACGGGGAACGGTGTCAAGTGCAGCCAAGCACATCCTGTCGCCAAATACTGTCGACGAGAGGATAGACGATGTCCGGACATGGACTGTGGGGGGCGTATCAGCACAGCAAATTATCAAACTGCTGGAACCAGGACGGTCTCCTCTTGTGCAAACAGGGAAGACGAAAAGTGGGTGGCTACAGTTGGGAGTCCAACGACCAACAACGTTCAGTATAGACGTCAATTCGCGGGAAATAGCAGTGAAATAGCGGAGTTGTTGCATTCTCGGCGTTTCTCATAAAATGGCACCGTTGCCTACGAGGCAGACAAGTCTTCATTGCGTTAGGTGGCGGGAGGAATTTACCCTCTCGTTCCCTTGCATTTCGTTTCGTAACGCCGTTTTCGTGCTAAAGGTGTACAACGAAATGCAGAAGGTAAATGACGCGGTGCTGTCGTCGTCAGGCCACGGCGTAGGGTGGGACGGCCATGACGAAGGCAGCGACGAGAACTACTGGGGACCGACATGCGATGAAGCGGTGGATGGCATACATCCTGCTGAACCGGGGCGCGCCGCGCAGGATAGAAGCGCTTCCGACAAGCGTCGAGTCTACGCCCATCTGATGGCGAAGAGCAAGGAGCTTGTAGGAGATATAATGAGGTCCGTGCCCCTGCATCAAGCGCTGTCCGTCCAGGACAAAGTTGGGGACTTTCTCCGTTATCTTCTCAACTCGTCCGCGGGAGGCACAGGCGTCCAAAATCCTGGAGAGGCGCCCAAGAAGGGGAGGCCGAAAAAGGACGGTAGAAGGCAACCTCTTCAGCATCGATCGGGGGCCAAAGAGGAACCCGGAAACCCGGAGGGGCAGCAAGGAAAGTCTCGTCAGACCAAGAGGATAAGGGATTTCAACAACGGGCGCCGGTCGACGAAGAGGAGTAAACACGCGGAGCAGAACGGCACTGGAATTTGATCCACACGATTTCCACGGTATTCCCCGCGTGTCCTTTTCAGAGAGTTGGGGGGTATATTAGAATGTCCGTGTTCCGGGGGGCAACGAAATCGGCGTAACGAAAGAGGGTTCCTGGAATATACGAGACACCAAAAATCGGGGACAGCAGGGAGCCACGCCTTGGCTGCGGCTGGCTACAATCCGTCATGAACTACTTGTTTCGTGTGGCGAGACACAACCGAACGCTCATGACCGCAACTGGAGGTTCCAACGGGTTTAACCTGTGGGCGACAACCTTCCTGCTTGCGCTCCGTCTACTTTTGCATCGCTACTTGCAGCGCGGCGATGATGGACGTATTTTCGTACTTGATGTAGTCTAGTATGCATCGCGGCTTTAGTACACTAAGAATATATCACGTCGTCACACATAAAAGAGAGCGCCGACTAACGGGCATGGTGTTTCCAATGCATGGTGCATGCAAGGAACAACAACAATATACGGAACGGATACGGAATGCATACATACATGTGTATACCTCAAACAACAGTGGATATTCTACTGTACATAAGTGAGGAAGGCAAGATTCCCTGTGCGGAGGGATTTGTTGACTTTTTCTACCCCGCGTCTGCTGCAGTGGTGCAGTGGTGCAGAGCTGCTGTGTGCGGTGTGCTGTGTGCTGTGTACTGTGTGATGTACGCGGTGTGTGCATGAACAGCACGCTATAACCATGGCGCTTGTGCTTCGATTAGAGTCTTGTTCGGCGAGATACGGCTGGTGGGGTGTTTAGCCTTATCCACCCCACCGGTGGGGCATATGCATTGCGTTGTTTACCCCGCCGGCCGTGGCACCACCAAACCTTTAGCGTTCGACCTCACCATGGATCCCACGATAGCCCTGCAAAGCAGCAATACATTCGTACATGTCTTGTGTTAATTGGAGTCTTGTAGGGCTACATACGGCAGTGGGGAAGTCTGCCTGCAAGAGAATAGAAGGCAGTGTTCGCTACCCACTTCGGGTGTTTGGCGTCATGCGGCGGGATTTCTTGACCTGTTCGGCGCCCCAGGTGATGCCCGCTGCTGTGCGCTGTGCGTGCATCGACCACACACTCCTACAGGTGGTTGTGTGTCGATTGGAGCCTTGTAGAGGGAGATCCAGCTGGTGGGGTCAATAATGTTATCGACCCCACCAGTGGGGTAGCGGCGGTATATGCCCCACCAACCGTGGCACCACGAAAACTGTGCCGTTTCGGCCTCACGATGGGTCCAATGATAGCCCTGCAACGCAGTAGCACACCCGTTGAAATCCTGAGCTGTTTGGAGTCTTGTAGAGCGAGATACAGCCGGTTGGGTGTTTAAGCCTTAACCACCCCACCGGTGGGGTGGTTAAGAAATTACCCCACCGGTGGGGTGTTTAGCCGTGCCGAATTTTTTATCACGATAGTGGATGATGGTCTCGATTCCCTGATGAGCGGGCCGTTTTTTTTCGTCGATCTGGCGCTTCTGCAAGGTGGTTTCCTGTCAGCGTCTTCGCATCTAGCGCCGCTAACATGCGCGCTTGCCGTATACTCTGTCCATGGATGAGGTGGAGAAGACTGGTCTCTATGTATGTTTTTTGCTCTTAGCCGAGGCACAACGGCGATCTTTCGGCACGCAAAGCGATCGGAGCTGAGAACGGAGCTGAAAGTTACGTAATAAGTAAGGGTTCCAAGGTTTAAGCATGTTGCTGGCGAGCGAGACATAATGGAAAGACCAGAAGGTCGAAGCATGTTCTAGGCTTGAGCAGGGCATGGAAAGGCTAGATAATAAGAGAAGTGTCGTCAAGGTAAGCGTGTCTCTGGCCTAGGAGCAGGGCATGGAACGACCGTTAGGCCGAGGTAAGCGTGCTCGGGCAAAAGCGAAGGCTTGAGCAGGCGCGAGAGAGCTGCGCAAGTTGCCGAGGTCGGGAAAGCGGAGAATCGGAGAGCACAGGTGGAGAATCTTGCAGATGTCAGAAAAGCGGCGAGTTGGAGAACGCCGGCAAAAAAAGCGGACAATTCCCTGACGCGTCCGTACTTGATGGCGGCGGGTGTGAGATACAAACAGATACCAGGGATCTCGTGTGATCGCAAAGGAGTGTGTGAGATCCAGACAGAGAGCGAAGCGACAGAGCGGTAGACCTCGTGTAACGGGAAGTGCCTAAATCGGAATGCTGCGCTGTTAGTGTCCACGCGGAAAATGAGTGGAACGTTTATAGAAAAATCGAAACTGATACGACCGTCATGATGTTGTTGTGAAAACTTGGACAGCAAACCCCTTTGGATCAGATCCTATACATCCAAGCTGCTGTTGGAGAACATGCGAGAACGCCCGCATGAGGTATCTAGAGGTGGGTGGAGAGCTGCATCACGACCGCATTAGATTCGCTGACTGAGACACCACGAACGACCTCGTTAGACTTACATCGTTTGGGAGATGTTCCTCGGCTTGCTCCAGTAGAGCTCCTGCCTTTTCGTGGTCGGCCGCCCTCTGCATCGTTGCAAGACTTGCGGGGCGGGGCGGTGCTGCGCCTCGCGTGCATATGCATACGTACTGCTGACGTCGTTGGGACCCTCGGTTCGCGGTGTGTTGTGGGTGCGCACAAAGAGACCACAACAGAACCACCGAGAATATTCCCGTAATAAAATTCTCGCGGAATCAGCAAGCAGTAGGGATTCGAACAGACCTATATTCCCCCGGTCCAGCCTATATCGTAACATGTCCCGTTGCCCGTTGGGGGGATGCAGGAAATGTCCCGCCCTGACCCCCAGGATTGTACCGCCTTCCTCGGCGTGCTTTCCTGATCCATACCCAGGTTAGTTACCACCGCCGATGACGCGAGAGAACTGAGCCATACCGCTGCCTTTGTGCCTGCCAAGTGTCCACCCCTTGTGAGTGCTGAACCTGATACGCTGACTATCGAGCTTGTGAGGAACCAAATGACTGTTGTTGGGCATCGCCGATCACCCGCTTGAAAAGTTGTTTGATACCATCACTTGATTGTTCTGCGTAGTCGATCTCCACAGATATAGCTTATTATCTGTGCCCAGGTGAGAGGTACACCCGCTTGAAAGTTGTATGATACTACCACTTGATTGTTCTGCGTGATCGATCTCCACAGATATAGCTTATTTTCTGTGCCCAGGTGAGAGGTATTGTAACTATCCCGGTTAAGAGAGAGATATGAGCTTGTTCGGAACATGGTACACGTACGGAGGGAGCATGTGGTGTGTCTGGCTTCGCTACTACGAGCGAGGGTGTGACCAACTCAGCGTGATTTTTGTAGGAGTTTTTTTTGTTCGGGGATTTTGCGTTTTTTTTTGGTATACGCTTCATCTCATATGGGTGCTATCCACTCACGTTTGGATAAGGAACGAGCTCGCGCTAGACCCCCTTCGGTGATTTTTCTAGCGTAGAAGACTCCCTCATCCTGGTAGGTCAGCCCACGATTTATCCTGTCTGCTCGGAGTGTGGGTGCTGCTTGTGTGCGTTGGTATGCGGCCGTCACTACCGCCAGTTTGCGGGTAAACTTCTCGGGTGTTTTTTTATGTGATTGATTCAGTGCTTTCTGCCAGATCTTGTGTGTCATCCATCGCGCATTTCTTTCGCGAGTTTTCCCCCAGCCACCTGATGCGCACACGGCCGCACCCTATCTGTACACTCCGTCCTCATCTTGCCGAACGAGTCACGCCGTACCATGTTTTGGGCGTGGATCCGCTCACGTGCGCATTCACACAGCGTGGGATTTTCCGCCGGCGTCTTCGCCGCAGACCACAGATAGATATACCCATGGGTGCAAACTTTCAATGCCGAAAATTCCGTTTTCACCGCAGCACCGTTTGTGCATCACACGCCAACACTCAGCACCCATAGCTCTCCTCACAGCCTAGGCGCCACGACATGCCCTATGTCGTCCATTCGCCGCCTTCACGCATACACGTCGTGGTGCCCTTGTCCTTCTGCTGGATGATTGTTTTCCGCCAATCCCACAACTACGTTGACTCTTTCCTGCTGTGGCGAATTTTTTTTCTTCGTTTTTGTTTGTTCTCGGTTCGTTGTCTCTTTGCCTGTCTGTGCACAACTTGATACGCATGTATGGAGCAAACTGCCACATGCCCTTCCTCCTCCGAAATCTGCTGGTGAACCCCGCTTGACCAATACCTCTTTACTGGTCTGCTCACCTGGCCATACCTTGGCCCTGCATCATCTCCACCGCTGGGTGCCATCTCAATTTTTTGCGGATGTTCCATGCTCATGCCACACATGTGAGGCATATTTTCGTTGACTATCCATCACAAGACCTTTCCAAGGCTGCATGATTAATCACCAGCCTGCAGCACCCGAACACTGCCCGGGGCTTCTCTCACCTGCCTGTGACCGCTCATGGACTACTGCTGTATGCCCCTACCACAGTAGTTGCCGACCAATGCTACACGGGGGAGGAAGCTTAGTGTATGTACTCATGGCATGGTTTACTTGTGCGTGGATCAGCGTCTAGTCTGCTTTTGGCTCAGCGGCACAGCTGTTGTTGTTTCGCCGCCTCCTGCTCTTGGCTAGAAATTGCCTGGTGCAACCATGCAAAAACACACACGCTCCTAACCTTGCATAACCGGCAGACGTTTGTCGTCTAACCATGTGGTTGACAGTTTCTGCAGTCTTCTCTTTGCCCCTGCGGTTTTGCTGTCCGGCCTACAGCAGTAGATCGCACGGGAGATTCCGTTCTCCCATGGATTTCGGAGATATATGTAGATGCGTGTGAGTGTCACTCCCTGCGCAGCTTCACGCAGCGCCCTTCTCCACTGCTGCTTGCGTCATAGCACTCTGCAGCAGCCCTCCATATTTCTCACTCTACTGTAGTTTGCGTTGTGAAATCCGACGTGGTAAGTTGCTGTTGCTTAATCCACATTGTTGTACAGCGCCTCCTCAAATCTGCTGGACGGCCTACTACCACATGCGTATCACGGCACCACCACCCGAGATGTGCTTGATTTCATACAGTACAGACTATACATGTCAGCAACCACGACATTGTGGTGTGCTTCGGCATGGAACTTGATTGCCCCCACATGTACTTCCCAAACCTGAAAAATAATAAATAAAAATAAACACACCCATATCACGATATATCACAATATCTAGGCGACACCAAGCAAGCTCACGCGTCAAGAAAGGCAAAAATATATTGTGATACAGGTGTGTTAATTTTTATTTATTTTTTTTCATACATCACTGATTTCTGCGGAACATCGTGTACTTTAGTTCTCGAAAAAAAAAAATGCACACACACAAATATTTTCATTGATACGTGTGTTCGCTTTGTACGTGTTTAGACTGTACCGTCCACCTGACGCACACCATAGGTTCGGTGTGTTTTACGCATTTATCTTTGTGTGGTTACTGCTGTTCCTCCGCCGCCGGTCAAAATGGGTAGCATATCTATCTTCGTGTGTCGAGTTTTGTTTATACGTCTGAGCCCCTCCTTCTGGTGTGTGTCTCCAAATTGCGTGTGGTGTGTTCACGTCCTTTTCATGATGCCCTTCGACGTATGCTACACACATGCCTAGTCGATGTGTCCGTGCGTCTATCCGCACTACCGGGGTAAGTATCGTGAATGATTATGACCGGGAGTGTGGCTGCGCTACTCATGTAGACTAGACTAACCCTCACGCATAAAAAGCAACCACAGATATGTACCATACATGGATGATCGGCCTTTAACTTTATAATCGCTCCGAACAACAGCACCACAAGTTGACAGCATTGATTGATTGGTGTCATGGTGATTCCTCTACGTATCGCAGACTCTCAATAACCAAATACTTCGCTTAAGACGGGGTTCTGTGGCCAGTAGTCTTTTTTGAGAAGGAAAAAGAAAAAGACAGCTCCAAAAAAGAACCGTAAGAAATGGCCATAAAAACAAATTAAAATCTGAAACAACACCAACAACTTGACGGCATTATTTTGATTGATTGGTGATGGCTGGGCAAAGCTTTTCACGGATAAAAGCACCCACAGATGCGTATCAATCGCTCTGCGCGTCGGAGTACATGTAATGATTGGTGTGGGTGGAAGAAGCGCTCCATACATACACTCAGCAGTGGTTGGCAGGGTGCATGCAGTTTGGACGGAAGACACGCAGAAAACACTGACACGAAAATAAGTCCACAAACATGTTGGCTCGGAGCGGAACATTGCGGTGTCTCGTCCAATCGTGACAAAACACAGATGCAGGTGCGAACGGCTCCGCCTTCGGCGGTGCGGGCAGCTTGCTTTGCACGGCGCTCATTGAGCCCACGACGTCGGGGTCTTGTGGAGAGAGGGCGTCACCCGGGCTCCGCGAAGAGGGAGGCCGAACGATGTCCGGCGGCGGGCTGGCGGGGCCCGTTAATTTTTTCGTAGTTGTTTCGCCTCGGTTTTAAAGTAGGGCTACTTCCCCCGCTGCGCTGTCAGGCGTCGAGCTTGGTTTGAGTGAATAACACATATGCATACCTCTATACCGTGGATTTATATAGCCCTTCTGGATCGGTTTGCACCTACAGCAATGGGCGCATGCATGCTTGTCTGTATTTGTGTCAATGGATCGAGAGACGAGTTAACTTCTCGACTGGTAGTCCTCTCCTTCGGGTCTACTCTATACTGCATCCCTGCTGGAACGTTGTGCTGCATCAAGTCAATGAAATGATTGCCGTTGGTGGCACACAGCAACAAGTAGTCCGTGTGCGATACAATCAACCCATCGCACACAGGCTCTGAGCGCTACCTTTCTCGCTGTGCGAGGTAGGCATTTTGAGGGGACTCAGACGAGAAGGTGGACCAAAAGGAGAATGAGTAAGAATGATAGTCAGGTGTGGAGTTTGCTTTCGGGTTTCATACACCGCCGAACAATTCGATAACGTGTTTCCTACATGTATATTGACTTTCCGCACAGACCCCTCCAGTTGACTCACCAGACAACTCCTTCTGTGTGCGCCATTTACAGACGCTTGGGTGCTGTACCACTGATGATGGCGGAAAACGCCAAAAAAAGGTAACATCACCCACGGAGCCGCAATGCCCACCCCGTTCATTGTGAAACCACGCAGGTGTAAAACGCAACCGCATTTTCACCTGCCGATTCTCAATCTCCATCTGTACGCGGACAAGGGACGGTGTTTCCTTGGAGTCGCGGGTGCCTGAGGTGGCACCTTCCTTTCGCTGTCGAGTAATTGAGCCTGCCCGGAATGGTTTTCGATACTTTTAAGGCCCCAGCTGCGAGGTAGACTACTTCGTACATCCTTTGCGACATTCATTTGAAGGGTTTACTCGACACTTCAGGGCTGTTGAGTGCGTGTTGAGTCCCGCCCAGTCAGA